GGTTCGATTTGGGTGGGTGGGTTTATAAATTTATTTTTATTTTTGGGCTTTATTTATTTATTTTTTTAACTTATTTTATATTAGGGAAATGTAAAGTATCATTTTACCCTTTACGATTTGGTCAAAATTAATCAAAATTTGACTTTCTCAGTCAACCGGTCAAATTAGATCAATTTGGACTTCAGCTGCATATTTATGAAATGTTAGAGACCTTTGCTGGCACAAAATGAAGGCTAAGATAAAATCTACAAAAATTGAAAAAGTTAGGGATTGCTGCTGCAATTTTCCCTTTAAACACAATCATTAATCAAGGAGGCACAAAATTTGAACATGGAATCGCCGGTGCATTATACATTCAACCTCCCGCCGGAGGACGAAGAGAATCAAGAAATTAGGAGCATGGCGGACTCGGTGAGGGCTGTGGAAAAGCTGTTGAATTACAATTTCACGGACAAGAAGCTTTTGGAGGAGGCCTTGACTCACTCCTCCTACACCGGGTCAGCTTCCTATCAGCGGCTCGAATTCGTCGGAGATGCAGCTCTCGGCTTAGCCATCACGAATTACGTGTTTTTGGCATACCCGGACGCCGACCAGGGCAAGCTATCCCTCGTGCGCGCCGCCAATATTAGTACCGAGAAGCTCGCCCGAGTAGCCATCCGCCACGGCCTGTACAAATATGTACGTCACAATGCTACCGCCCTTGATGAGAAGGTAGGGGTGAATTCTTGCTTGGAATCTGTAGCACAAGTGCCATGGGCGATATAATGTTATTTAAAGCGTAAAAGGGTACAATTATTGGAGCTACATGCACAACAGCTTGATGCAGTACTTCGCTAGTTGGCTTTATCAATCAGTGACATACTACTTATCGCACGTACACATTTGACATACATACACTCTAGAGATTTTGAACTTCAGTTTTGAATACAATGTCAACTGGGTTTTTTGCTTGTCTATGAAATAAGCAAAATTCATACAGATGCATTTATACCTGTCATTAATGTTTTTTTTTCTTTTTGTAACTTCTCTTTTGTACATTTACTTGTAGGTGTCTCGGTGTGAATATGTCATGTTGTTTTAAGTTTTAATGAATCTGTGTCCCACTGTTTAATTAAATAATTTGGAAGACTGTTATAGCTAAACAATTTGGGTGCACACTTTTGCAACAACAATAAGTGTTCGAGTGGTGTTTGGGTGGTGATGTTTATTTTTAACTGGGACATGGCTTTGGTCGAGTTGAAAATGGTGAAGTTGGTTCATATGTCCAATAAGCACTTGACTCGCAGAACATTACCCAAGAATTGTTCGTTGGAGCTGCATTATCAAGTGCTTATTGGGGATTTGAACCACCTTTTCCATTTTGAAGTCTACCAAAATCGAGTCCTTTTCATGGTTGTGCTTCAGGTAATGGAATTTGCAATATCAATACAAGAGGAGGATGATGCAGAGGTGCATGGAGGATTATTGAAAGCACCAAAAGTTCTCGCAGACATTGTGGAGTCCGTGGCAGCTGCAGTATACATTGACTGTAACTTCAATCTGAAGGATATGTGGATGGTTGGTTTTTCCTTTGCCTGTTGTTTTTCATCAAACGTTTCTATGCAATTACTGTATGGCATATGTGCTAATATTTGGCCAAAATGTGTTTGTATTACGCCATGTACAATTTGGTTATTCTTTTTGGTGAAAACAAATTTAAGACATGCCACAAATACATACGATGATTTTAGCTGCGGATGTTCATCCATGATATAATGCATCAAAATTTCGTAATAGGCCCAACCTTTTCAAATTCAAAGTAATTTTTTGTAGAATGAGCTGCAAAATACACCTAGAATTGCTGTATTAGGAAAAACGTACATTGGTTATACACATTCTTCCATTCCCTTTTGCTCTAGGTCATCAGAGACCTGTTTGAGCCTATTGTCACGCTTGGTATGCTTGAACAACAACCGCAACCAGTGACAATGCTTTTTGAGTTGTGCCAAAAGGATGGAAAGCAAGTTGACATAAGGCATTGGAGAAAAGGAGAGAGAAATATTGCAAGCGTCTATGTTGATGGACATTTTGTTGCTTCAGCTTCTGCAGAGCAAAAGGAAAATGCAAAGCTTCATGCAGCAAAGGCTTCTTTGCGGAAGTTGTCATACACATCCAGTGACATGACGAGGCCTGACATCTTCAGTGAACTCAATGAGGAAATGGAGATTGAAGGAGCAAAACAAAAACTCCATGAATTGTGTGGCAAGAAAAAATGGTCACGACCAGATTACAAGTATGACTTTTCCTCTCTCTAAGCTCATAATATTGCAATTGCTTTATATAAATAATCACCCATAAACTTGTTTGATATGTATAAAAACTTTGCTGCTCTGTTGCAAATTTTCAACAAGTTCAAGGCACCAACTGAGGGAAACTATAGCTGTTTCTTCTGGAATTTGCCAAATTAGCTAGCATGGATGACTATTTAAAACTGAAAAGTAAAGATGGCTTTGGAAAATGATATGTTGGGGAATAAATGTTGAAACAATGCATTTAGTCCACCTAAAAGTACACATTTATAGATATTTGTATTTTTCATCCCCTTTAGAACCCCTACATTTTGAGTGCAGGGCTATCCATTGACCGTGAACTGGTAGTTTTGTGCATTTGATTACCTTAGTAAACTCACATAAGATAAATGGTTTATGTGATGCTGTACCAATTACACGTTTGTCCAATATATGTCTACAGAGTAGATACAGAGGTTGGTCGTTCTCATGAGAAGAAATATGTATGCTCCGTTCAAATCGAAATAAATGAAAGTGTACTATTATCAATGGGAAACAAAAAGACAAGGATAAGAGATGCCGAGAACTCCGCAGCTTCTGCAATGCTTCGTGGTCTACGAGAATCTAAGTATGTATGATGATGTTCTTCCGTCGTATTTATAGAATTGTCAACATTTCTCCATTTGAATTCTGTGATCAATAATACATCTTCTTTTCATTCCAAATGCATTATGCTGTTAAAGCAAACAGATTTTGCTTCTTGTCACTCGTTACATACAATGCTCTTCATAGAATGTTGTCCTTAAAAAGTTTACTTATAAGTAAATAAGTAAGTTTTAAAATAAATTTTCTTTTTATTTCTGAAAGTTGAAAATAAGTAAGAGTAAATTATCACGAATTCTTTTGAATGTTGCTTGTTTAGTTTTTCATATAGAATTTCACAAATGTAGTCTTTGAAGGCAGAGAATTTGCATTTCAAACTTCAGATTATTATGCTTTTGTATTTCTTGACATGAGAGCTGTCGTCTTAAAGCGCAAAATATTGCCCACACACTAACACGCATGAACTTCTTCATTCTTGGATCGTCTGTTGGTTGCCTATCAGTAATTTCCGTAATTCGATTACCCTGCTTTGATTGATCGATTGTTTATGATTAACTTGGAACATAGTAATATTTCACCTTATAACGTGTTAGATTGCAGTATTCGTTGGAATTTTTTGGAGTGGATTGTGGATTTTCATGCACGCATGTTAATGCCTACTTTTTATCTTTATTTAGTAATTGGTCGATGTAGGTATTTGACCATACTATGTTATGTGTAAAATATGGAATGATGCTTCTTTGGGTTGTAATTACGTTTACAAATGTAAAATCAAGGAGAATGAGAAGGAGAAGGAATATTATTTTTGATGGAAACTAAACAATTTCTTTGATAGAATTTTCCTCATTCTAAAATTGAAAAGAGTTCAATTTCTGATCCACCAATTATTACTCATACACCCCAAGTCTGCCACAGAGGAAAATACAAATAATGCAGCAATAAAATAAATTTACCGAAACTAAAGATCCGCAGCAATAAAATTTGAGGAAGTGTCTCCTTATCCGACATGACCCTGTCGGAAATCGCCACCACTGCCACAATCATCTCTGCTCTCTCTAGTTAAAGCATTTGACTCCATTCTTG